GAAAGAAAGAAAGAAAGAAAGAAAGAAAGAAAGAAAGAAAGAAAGAAAGAAAGAAAAGGAAAATCTATTTTAAAAACTAAGGAAGAAGAAGACTGGGATATTGCTCAGTGGTAGAACACTTGCAGATGTGTACAAGGCCCTAGGTTCAATCCCTAGCACTATAAAAAATAAAAGAAGAATGGGGCTGTTAAACCATATTACTGCCTGACTCTGTGACCTTGGGCTACTTACTTCAGCCCTCAGGGTCTTGGATTTCCCATTTCTAACAAGACATAATAACCAATAATAAATACCCCCACAAAGGTACCTCTAAGAATGACATGAATTGGTCACACAAAGGGCTGGGAAGGAAGGAACCCCAAGAAGTACTTGGAAGTTCATAGAAGTCAAAGCTTTTGGAGATCAGCCAAGGAGACAGAGAGGTCTGATGTATCAGTCCACTATTCTCCAGCCACACCAGATTCCTGCTGGGTCCCTGAACATGCCAGGCTCTTCCCTACCACAGGGCCTTATACTTGCTGTTTCCTGCCTGGCACACTCCTCATGCATTCATTCCATGCTTTTCCTCAAATACCACTTTTCCAGGAGGTTTTTCCCATGTCTTCCAGGCATGATCCTGGCACCCTACTTAATATCTGTACAGCTTCTGTATCACCTGCCCTTACATTTGTTTCCTTGTTTCTCTTCCATCTTCCCTTCTAGAATGCCAGTCCCTGGAGGATAGGACCTTTTGCCTCTTTGTTTACAGTTATTTTTTCCAGCACCTAGAACAGAGCCTGGCACATAGTAGGTGCTCAGTATTTAATGAGTTGAATAACAAATGACTGGGGACAGTGTGAGCTATCCTTGTACAGGGTAAACCAAGGCAGAAAGGGGTGCCAAGCATCCCTGACTTCCCAGTCTCTCCCTTACCACTAGAGGGCACAAGCTGTTTCAGCCCATGGCTCAGGAGCTAGACTCCACCAAGACAGCAAAGAAGGAGCAAAGATGGATTGATTCGGGGGTCAGGGGATACATTTGGGAAACAAGTGGGCTTCAGACAAGTAGCTCAGGATGCTGATATGGGCATTTGGATTTATCTGGTGTTTAACTGAGAGGAGGTGGCCAGGCCACTCTGAGTATAAATTCCAGCTCCTTGCCATCCTCTGTGGGACCATGATTCAATCCCTGGTTCCCAAGACATCTATTTTCACAAGGGCAAAATGGAAAACTAAGCAGCAGAGTGCCAAGAGAAGGCTCTGGACTTCAAGCAGAATCAGAATCCCAACTCAGCCCCTGTTGGGCGGACTGAAGTGGCTCTCTCTGAGCCTTGGGGACCTGGTAGGATGCTTCCTTAGGGCCACAGAGCCCTCTTACCAGAAATGCCACTTCTGCCATCCAGAATGTCTCGGGGGCCTTCCTTGGCGATAGGCAGGTAATAGGTAGACCCGAAGATATCACCTTCCCCCTCAGCAGCCTCAGCCCCACCCTCGATGTCATCCCTTGGAGCTGGACCGGGCAGTCTTTCTGGGCCTCGAGGATGATCTGGGGCAGCCAGGCCACCTGCCAGTGGCCCCTCCATGGGTGCTGTTTATCTTCACTCAGTGCTTGGGAGGCTCAGAGGAACATTGTAAGCCTGGGGACAAAGAAGAAGATGAGCTTAGCAGAGGTAATAAATGAATTCTTTCTCAGTTTCCCCTCCTTCAAAAACTGCCTCAGTTTACCTTCTAGTCCAAGAGAGCTGAGTAAATGGTACTGAGGCCTTATTCATACCTGTTATAACCAAAGCACCCCATATCCTCAGCATGCCTCAGTCTCCCGTGGCTAACTCCTCTTTTTACCCAGATCCGTCACAGCCTCACTTTTACACATACACACACAGCCACCTCAGTATCCCTCATCAAACCTTCCACCTCTCCAGATTTCTCCCATCACTCACTCACAGTTTCATCTTCAGTTGCTTCCTGGCTTCCCGTGCTTGCACAGCCTATGGCCCTGCTTCCAGTTTCCAGGATCCTAGTCATTTCCACAATTGAGCCCATGCAGTCTCAAGTGCCCCCACCTTTGCCCCTTTACTTTTCTCACTTGGGTTGCCCATATCAATTACTCCTACACTTTTCCACACTCTGACCCTTCCCCCTACCCAGCACCTTAGGGCTCTCCAGATTTATCCCCTTAACCTCCTCACAGCCTCAAGTGACCCTGCCATTAACCCTTTCCCATCTCAGCATGATCTCTCATGCACACGGAGCATGGGATTCTCCACCCTGCCACCCTCCAACAATATTGGTTGCATCTTCCACCGCTATTGATTGATCTGGTCCGAGGACGAAAGGGACCGATGGGGCTCCTGGTCTAGAAATAAGGATCCTAGGGAGTGGGGGCGGCTGTCCTTTCCACCTATAAATACCTTCAAGGTGGCGCGGAAAGTGAAGGACTGGAATGAGGCGCTCTCCCCAGGGAGATGGTGGTGAGGCCAGGCCCAGGCAACCGGGGCGGGGCCGGGGCTCCAGGCCTGGTTGCAGGCACTACCCTCGGGGGGCCTGGGTGTTTTCCAGGGGGCCCGTCCGGGGGCTGGCAGTCTTGGCGGGGGCAGGAGGAGTGTCCCTGCCCAGGCCTGGAGGAAGCACCTGCGGGCGCCCACTGGGGTGGGCACTGCCCTGTGGGGAACCCGCAGGACCTCAACTTAGGAGCACTTTGGCAGCTTAGGGATGGGGGGGCTTGGGTCCAGACGTTCCCCCCCGCCCGAGGGGTCGCAGAGGTGGTTGCGGCGCTGCGCGAGTGCACCCTTCGGGGAAGCCAGGGTCCCAGGGATGCGCCCTCCGCCCGTGCACCTCGGGGCGGGAGACCCCGCGGGACGAGCCGA